CGTCACATACTTAAATGCACTTATTACTCTATTGTTAAATTCATGCTCAATCCGATCCTTGTTATTGGTTAGGACAGGCAAATAGTCACATTAAGAGACGACCATTTTGTTGACCACTGAATGAACCCTTGAAGGTAGTTATCGAAATTTTCAGGAAACAAGTTCCAAGTGAATTTTTTAGCGCCCATCCGGAATGAGATCCCTATTATCGTTGAGAAAGCAGTTTCATGTGGTTTTATTGATGTTAAAATTGCTTTTTGAATACGTTTAGTTTGTCATTCAATGTGATGAACGAAGGCAAATATTTTTGCGATAAAATTTTATGAGATGGCAAGAGACGACGAATGCAGCATGTGCATGTTCTGATGCATCATTTACGGCCGTGTCACTAATCGAGTCAAATTTTGATTAGGTTTGAAAATGTCATTATTTTGAGAAGTGCACTTTCGAAGAGAGCCAACCAGCCACAAATGAACAATAAAAAACGAATGCAATTTATAATCAATGAGCAAGAAGTGTATGCCTGGATATATTTCTGTCATAAACATACCCGTACGTTATTCTCTCATGATGAAATCGCATGTGTTTCTAATCTCTCTTGGTCATCTCAAAGCGTTTTATCTCACAGTTAGTGATCACCAGCAGTCCAATCGCTTTTTAATCTATTCCGAACCTTTCAACTCATCTTGTTTTCAATTTAAGCTTATATTTTCAGTGCAATTGTCCTGAAATGATAATCTCTGCATAATCGAATTTGCATTGAAAATTCGTCATTTAAGAATTGCACGTTTTCAAGCAAAATTATTTCATCGCTCCATATCTGTTCAAAACATTTGCAAGCAGATTTTGTCTTCATTCATCGTTTGATCATTGAAGCGCCTTCCACACGCAAAATGCACTCATTTCTTTGATCATTTGAATTTTTTTCACATAATTTTTTAAATTAAAATTTTTGAAAGATCTATCTGCCCACTATAAAGACTGTATGTGCATGAACCCGTTGTTGTGGAATGAGGGTTAAAATTGGGCGAATCAATGTAATAGTATAATCCAAATTGCATGATGGCATTTGTACCGTGTTGCACCATGTGCACAATGCAATCCTCTACCATACTTTACTGTACTGCATGATATCATGATGATGGTGATGATGATCACTGTGAGTGATCACTGTTTTTTGTTCTGTAGCCAAAAACGATGGATCCTTGCCTGCAGTCACGTCGGACGGAAGTGCAATGGTACGAACCGAGTTGTTGCGTTGTGGTTGTTTGATAATAACGTCACCTATGCATGATGCCACCACCAATTCATTGTTGTCAGTAAACACACAATCAAATCCTACCGTCGTCTTGAATCCAACGTTTGACTTCACTGCATCAACTCCGATCCCGGAGGAAGAGGATGATGACCAATCGGATCGCATACAGCTGATTTGCGATGATCAAGACGATGACATACCTACCTCGTCAACACCCTGTCAAAATGTATCGTGTGCAAGCGATACGCCTGAAACAACGCGTTTGAGGTGAGTGAAACGTTTACATACTTCAGTTTATTCTTTGTTTAGATTTGATTTCTTTTTAAATGCCTTCGAATTGGACGAATTTATTTAGAATCGTTTTTTTGCATCCAACTATAATAATATGAGAGACCGAAGTTATTGATAGTGAGATAAAATTTTCAAAATTAGTTGAATCTAATGTGTTTCGGGGAATGGGGATCATGGGTTACCCGTTCCTTTGGGTTACTCGTTAGCCGCATTTTCGGGGTTCCCGAATGCAAATTTCGTCGTCGACTTTATCCATTTGTGACTTCCTTCGTTCCTTCCATGTAACACACCCGTTCAGTTCATACTTCATATGACCGACCGTTCATGTGCTATGCAGCAGTGCAAGTGAACCTCCAACGGAGGATAATCTCATTCCAAAGATTTCGAGCTGATGCGAAGTTGTTCTGGGGAGTTAGACGAAAATAATTATTTGATATTAGCATTGAAGTTTCTTCCTGTGCATATGTTCGAGGTAATTCTCAGTGATTCAGAGTGGTCGCATGCACATTCGCTCTTCAATGAATCGATTGAGTTGAATACGATTTATCAAATTATATGAGATGACTGCTGAAATCATGTGATGTTGGAGAAGCATCAAAGTTTTTGTGAGTGCCGTTCAGAGATGTAGAGAGATATAAATGCATATATTGGATAAAACAACTGACTGAGGCAATTCAATTGATTTGTTTGTGAGCAGGCTGTAATGTGAGTGAGTGAGTAGTTTGTTTCGTAGTGATGTTATCACGCTTAAAACCATCACTCGTGTTAAGATTCAGTTCATTGCTTTAAGCGAGTGCTGTTGATGATTGTGTGGATATATGTATGTAAGGTTCATTGATAAGGATTATCCACTCATCGTTGCACTTCTATCACCATCGTTAGCGAATGCATTTTATTATACAATCGCTCAGTTTGAATACTGCATCTATTCATTGCTATTTGTCGGCCCATTGTAATGTTGGAAAGGTGGAATGAATCACTTGAAATATCATGAAACCATATGAGAAAGTCGTCGGTTTGAAGGTTTCATCTGCTTTGTACGGCGTCATTGATTTTACAGATGTTCAAGTGGAACCTCATCACAATGACGACTATTTGTGAATTCTTTACGATGCTTCAGGAATTTCTTTGAAATTGCTCACGAAACCTCAGCGAATAAATCAGCGATTTTGTAGTCGATAAAATTGAGCGCAATTTAACGTTTGAACGATATGTGCCGTGCCATTCAAAGATGTTCATTTCCATTTGATGCCTTCTTGAAGTGTCTAATTCAATAAATTTGAATTGTAAAAAAAACCATCACAATGAAACGAAGAAAAATTGAATGAATAAAATGAGTCTGAACGAATGCTGAATGAATTATAATTCGTAATTTGATGCTTTCAATGTGGAATTAGGATTCGAAATAGAGCGAACAAAAACCTTGGAATGTGACTGTTTATTTCGCATTATTCAAGCATTTCTATTTTACGTTTGGCTCGTTCGAAAAGGTTTAGATGGAGAATAGTAATTTAGATGAAGGATAACAATAATGGCGTTCAGATAAACGAAATCGCATCATAAATTATTTTCGTTTTGAAATTTTCTTTCATTCCATCATTTAGTTGCGTCTATTGTTGTTGCTAAGCAATTTCTTTGGTTGAAATTTTAACGAAATCATTTTTTTGACGCTTGTAGATGACGAATTTTGAATTGCTTTCTCAATTTTTAGTCTTTGTTTTCGAGTGAAACAAAGCGCACATAGATAAATGGCTCTCGGAAATCCTTACCACCCCTCTTTCAACCGTTCATATTTGCTCTCGGAGTTCGGCTTTTTTTCGTGTGAGCGAGAAAGTTGAAGCAAAATATTGTACGATTTCAAGAAGTTCTCGAGGAGAAAATCAGATTTCTTTGATCAAAAATCGTACATCTAGATTCGTGATGTAGTTCGATTTGGTGATTGATTGCCGTGCGAGCGATTTCAATCGATTCTGAGGTTTGTTTAAAATGATTCGTGAAAATTCTTAGTGCGAAGTTGCGATAGATCAATGTGGTGAATGTCGAATCAGCTTTGTGAATCAACGAAATTGAAACTGAAAATGATGACTAAGTGAAATCGGATTAAAATAATCCTGAATTAAGATTCGGAAAGCTTCGAGGTTCTGATTAGGAAAGCGTCACTGGGTGTTAATGAATGGTGATAGAATGAAAGCAGGGATGTGTCGTCATCTACTTGTATTATGACCGCATTTGACGGCAAAAACCTATTACTTAACATATTAATTAGCACTGATATCAGCTTTCTTCTCATACGTCACTGATAATCACAAATATGAGTGCCGATTTGGGCAGCGAAGATTGCTATTTTCTAGTTTATTGCTATTACGAGTAATATCATCTCTCTATCAATTCCAGCTCTATCACACACACACTTTGCATTGCCTTACCAAACATTCCCGACCAGTATCATCATCTCAGCTTTCCATTAAAAAACGTAGTGAATGAGTATAAACATCAATATTCTAAGTTCACTGGCCGAGCGCACGCCTAAGTATCAAGCATGGCCATATCAAACGCCAATCTTGCCGTCGTCTTCTTATCGTGTAAGTGAATGTGTTATTTGCGTATTTGTTCATGTGCTCTTCTGAATAAAATGAGCACCACAGCACAATCAAGCATAAAGCATTGAGTCCATTCGTTTTGCAGTTTATTACTTCATTTGGCGATCAGCATCTGCGCTTGTCGTTCGCTCCGAACTCTCGTCCTAACCAGTTCAAATTCAAGAAAACATCCAAAATCCTGGCAGTACTGCGAAATTTGCGCTGAGCAATGCTGCCTCAGAGTCGAGCAAAATAAAACAGAGCGCTGAAAAAAATCCCATTCTTTTGTGGAATTTCATTTTGTTTCTCTGCCTTTTGGGATATTCAGTCATTTGCTGATTTTTGAGATGTTGAAGAAAAAATTTTCATCAATTTCTTGCTCTTTTCTTTAGTCTTCTTTAACTCTTCTTGTATTCTGTCGTTTTTCTTGTTTTCGTTTGTCTTTCTCATTTGTTCTTTATAAAATGAAATGAAATGAAAAACATATTGATTTCGTTCGCATTCACTCCCAAATGACAGATTGGTCAAGTCGTTAGGAAAAGCCTCTGAATCTACTCATTGCGTTATTCATCTAAGATGAGTTTGTGTGTGAGTCGCGGTGAAATACTCGTATGTGTGCGCATTTGTTACGAAAAGTTTTCTTCTTCATTTTTACACAATGATTACTTGATGTCATATAGTACGAATTTATCACTGAAGGAGTCAGATGTTCTTCAGATGAAATTGAACAAATTGAACACATCAGTTGTATCCGCTCTAAAAAATTATCACTTTTGAATGAACTTGATTCAGCTTCACCTATCAGAGGTTGCTGATGTTCTCTCTCCTCTTGGTTCTTGCAATAGAATGAAGATAATCAGTACTAACGAGTTTTTTCTANATCGCAGTCTTTTCGGTTGTGTTCTGATGAAGTGGATCCATTGTATTGAACGAATGCCCTCCAAATCTCTGCAGAAGAACAGAGTAATTTCACTGAATTGAGTGTGTCTGAATGGTACAAGAAATTCACCGATTATAAGTAGCTTGAAAGCTGAACATAGCCTTAGAAATTTTGAATTTTGTGAAGATGAGTTCATTGCGATGAAGCTTTATTGCGTCTCGAAATAGTGGATGATAGAAAATATCATCCGTACAGGCGAAAATTTTACGGCTCACCAACGCGAGCGAGCGATTTCAGGGACTCTGAAAGTGTGTTATTTTTTAAAATCTTATTTGCTTTCTTTTTTTTGTGAACTCAGAAGTTCAATTTAATGTCAAAAAGTCAGTAGGTGAATGATGAATGATCAGAACAAATCGCATCAATTTGTCTTATCTTCTTTATTCCTTCAGATATAAACTATCGTTTGTTTTATTATTGTCTCATTCCGAACGCTTGTTCTTTTATTTGTTTTTTTCCTTTTATTTTCCGTGGTTTGACTGAGTATCAGAAGAAGCTTGACAGAAGGCATTTCATTAATCCAGCGATTTTGAGTCAACATGATTTTGAGCATATGTTGTTTTATTCGATCATTTTTTGTCGATTTGCTCTGCTCTCATTTTTATTTATATCATTCATTTGTTTCCAGAACATTGCTATATTATGCATATTATTTCTTAGTCGTCCATTAATAATCACAGTTTCAATTTTTATTTCGTTGCATTTCAGTTCATTGCTAATTCATTCATAAGATATCATATTATTCGCAGCATTTCACTCAACATTTCCCGTAGAGAATCAAGTTGAAACTATGGCATGGCATGTAGGAGGTGCAACGTGTTGCGTTATATGAAAAAGTATGAAATATGGTTTCGTTAGGTTGCAATAAGCTTTCATCAATTCAAAATGTTTTATGATGATTGAAAGCATATGAAATGAAATGTGGATGGCAATAATGATGTTATTGTTCAGTGACATTCGTTCTCTTTAATCAGTTTTTATTCAGTTCAGTCGGTTCTTTAATCAGTGATCATTTCGTTTTAATCAGTTGTTTCTTTCACTTTGCGCTTTTGTTTTATTACTTTAAGAGCGAATTGTACTCATCATTTTTTTCTTTCGCTTTCAATTGGCTGTCGCAATTTATTTGGTCGTGTCAGTTGTTTTTTTTGTTGTCATTTTTTCGTTAGCTCGTTCATAGTTGCATTATTATTTTTATTTTTCATTTTATTCCGCCGCTCAGAGCCATAGCATAATCAATACTTTCTCACATTGTTCCGCGTTTTCGTCTCCATCTCGTTCTCTTCCGTCCGTTAGCTCGCTCGTCAGTCAGCTGGCGATTAATTTGATTCGCTCATTCGTTCATAGCTTGCTACTGCCTGCTGCTTCTCTTCACGTGAGCTTATTTGTCAAATTCATGAACTTATATCATCGAATGAGTTGATCGTTTCGCAATTGAGTGATGATGCCTGCTGTCCCTATTATCATCATTATTATTGCACACATTTTATTCATTCGCTACTATTCATCGCACTTGACATGAGTGAGAAGTTAAGCACTACTCTCTTTACTTTGTCGAATACTTCTCGAGAATTTAAGAGTCAAAATATCGGCTATTATGATCGAATGCCATGAAATAGACCTTTTCAATCCGGTGTTTACGCCAGATTCTCATTAGATTCAATCGTTTAGGCATAATAGCGATTGTTCGAAGTGATGATTGATATATGTGTGTGCGAATTTTGATGGTCGCTTACGACATAATTGCTCACAGCTTTCATTAGGTGAACTGAACAGATTTGTGATTGGATCGATTCGTCGTCATTAAAAGAGTTTGATGTGTGTTGTTGGTATTTTGACTGGTTGTAAAATTGCTGGTTGTCTTTCAGCAGAACGCCCTCACAAGATGCACGAATACGCTTGATAAAACGCGGTGCTGCTGGCAACAACAACAACGCAACAACACCGAACTTGACTTGTTCGGATACGGTACCGTTATTGCTCAAAGATACTACTGTTACTGTGGAAGAACAAACCGCCAAGCATACTACTGTAAACGATTCAACTAACTCCAAAAGAGACTCATCATCAGCTACTACCGTATCCAGCAGATCTGCTGCCGCATCCCATCAATGCACGACCACTTCTTCTTCGTCTTTGTTGCATCCTCCGCCTCGTGCAAGCAGTGATCACCGTCATCATTTTCACCGTTGTTATTTCCACGAAATACCACCGCACCCTCATCATACCCACAGTAATTGTTACTGCAATACTCCACAGACTAGTACTGTCACTGTGAACAATGAATCTTTTTGTGACTTCGATCTTATTGAATCTTCTTCTTCGTTTCCTTCGCATTCATCTCATTTAACGCACTCGTCTTCGTTTCACGATCACATCAATAATGATGAAAATTATTGTCAGCTTCCATTGAAGGATCAGTTCACTGAGCATTTCTTTCAGCAAATCTCTGATAATAACAATCGATCTAAAGATTCAGCAGCACTTATTCCTGTCACTGACTGCTCGATTCACTCTTCTCACTTGTTGCACCGTTTCGAAAAAATGCCTTTCGCAACGCAACTACGAACAAAAACTAAAACACAACAGCTAAACATACAACAGAGTAAACAAGCATCTAAGCACTCTGAATCATCCAAATCCACCTCTCAAGCACCACCGAATGATCTCGACTCGCCTGAGGTCGCTCATGTCGAACCGACGGCCGTCTATCAACCGATAACTTTGAATTTCTCCTACACTACAGCTCCATCTTGTTGTTATCCAACAGATTCCGCGCCATTCATTACCAGTGATCATCCTCAATTGAGCAGCCACTGTCAGACCACGTCAACAGACTCATCCAATTATCATTTACTATCGCCTTGTTTAGACACTAATGTACCGAAATCGCTTGCGATCAATCAAAATTGTTCGCACATTTCGTCCCCATTTCAAAAACAACTGCATTCACATCACCATTCTTCGCCATCACTAAACTCCTACTCTTTCAAATACGAATGCTCAATGTTTGAACAACTTAATAAACTTTCTGCAGATATCGCAGCCGAGAATCCCGATATGATACACTTTCAGCAAGTGCTCAATAAATGGGTTCGTCTCTTTTCTTTGCGTTCCCTTCTGCTCCAACACATTTACCAAATTTATCGCCTTATCGGCTTCAAACTACTAATAATTTATGCTTTCAGTCTAGAATTGGTGAAAAATTGTTGTATCTCAAAGTTGATACACTTAATCTTTTCGCAAGCTTTCGATTTTATTATTGTAATGTTTTGGTGTTTAAGTTCGCTTTTTTTTTCGAAGTTTACATCGTGACAGATGTTTGTTTTCATCGACTTCCGTTTGTGATCTTCGATGAAGGATTTGTTTTTCGAGATAGTTTAAAATGTCAGTTGGTTGGTAGTTGTTACTCTTCGAATAGCATTGGCCTTTCAGTATCGCATAATTGATTTTAGGATACGATTTTTTGTTTGCATGAGAATCTTTCAGATTCGATCTCAAACGAACTCACGTCTAGTTGCTTTCCTTCTAGTTTCTCGTGAATGCAACGCTTGTTTTTGCCAGGTAATTCACCTTATTGTCTTATTCAACAGCTTTCGTTTTTCATTTACAAATCATTCCGATCGTGAAACCCACGAAACGCTCTTTTGAATCAACAATAACACTATGTCTATGGGCATTGCATCGTGGAAATGCGAGAAATTAATGGTTCTCACGTTGTTGCGCTCCGTAAACCTTGTTGGCCCTATGGCAGACCGTATTTTCCCCTTACAACAATACCCGTCTCAATATTTTCCATCTCTTTTGGCAGTGTATTACTATCTAACAAAAATCAGTAGAAAGTCGGGAAATTGATCCATTGAGGAAGGAGTTTGCTGTTAAGAATCGTATCACAGGAGGCGATTACTTGCGATTTGACCAACGGGCATTTTGAAAATATTTTTAATCAAAACCACTTTCTGGTTTGCTTCACTGATGAAAGGATCGATCTTGCAACCGAACCGGCCGTCAACGACGTTAATTGGACAATTTCGAGAATTTTTTGATTGACATTACACACTATTCGATGGATGTTAATTAGACTCTTTCATTGTCTTAAGCTCTCACCTTCATCTTGATGCCCGTCATTCACCGTGACAGCCATATAGCAGCATTGTCAAATGAACTCGAATTACATTACGCATCAAGCAGTAATTTCATTTGCTTTGCCATAATGAGAAATCGACAAATTTTCTATCTCTACGAAGGGAAATTTCTCCGCAAACATTCGCCATTTTACGATTTACACACACGAAGAATTTCTGATCATAGTTACTAAATCAAAAATACAACAAAAGATCGGCGTTGACTGATGGACTCCATTTTTCCACTAGATCAAGTGATCATGTTCCGCTTTTCCGATGTTGCTATACTCTTTCTGTTCTCTGAATTGGAATCATCGAATTTTCGATGAACTCACAGGCAGTGCTTTCTTAAATTTCATTTTGATGTAAAGTCTACCGAAAACATTGACCATTTGGGTGGAACGCAGAACGAGAATCATTCATCAGTTGTAAAGTTGATTCGGGATGTGACCTCTAAATACGGTCGTACCAGTGTGTTCGATCAATCGGAAGGTTACGGAATTTTAAGATCATCGAACAACATCGGCAATCGAAACTTATGTGTGATTGATGATTTTTGCTATGTCTCAGTGAAAGTAAAACATTGCTGCTTTTGTATCTTTAGGCGTGAAAAGTTTTGTTAAACTAAAATACTCGTTTTTTTTTNTTTTTTTTTCTTACAGGTTGCCGGCGAGCATCTCTTGAAGGAAGCCGTTAACTGTGTAAGTTTACATCAATCTTTGAACCGTCATAATTGAACTGAACGAATCCTGATGATTTGTTAGATCACGTAGCATTCGAAGACTACCAACTGTACATTTGTGAAAAACCGTGATATGGTTTAAAATCATTCTAAACGGTCAAACCCAGATGTGCTTCATCAGATCGCTTGTCGCAAAAAAGTGTTCAAGTGCTGTGATTGAATGCGTGATTTTCGAAACATAAATCAATTGAAAAACGCAATCTGTCTCAAACAATTATTCTTCAACGGTTCTCTTTACTGAACAACATCCAAATAATCTCTCTCAATGTTCTTTGATTAATGAAAGGGTTGATTTGCTTGTTTCCGCAGAAAAATGTTTGTATTCTCAGCGGAATGTGAATGATTTCCTCGAAAAATTCGAAGTTTTGAAATGACAATTGCGAAAAAGTTTCGCATTGCACTTTATACGCATGTTGTGCATATGAAAGAAATTCTTTCTGATTTGCTCACAAAGGAAGAAAACATTTCACAAGATAAGAGAATTGTTATTGTTGCTGTTGCAAGAACGATTCTCAGAATGAAGGGCACTGATAACATCGCTAGCAATAATAACAATAATGCTTCTGTTGACAAGAAAAGCAATTATAACGATAATTTCAATGATATTGATCATGGTATTGAATGAGAATTTTGTTCAGGGTGATGCGAGTGTTTTGTATCGACTATTCCCGCGATATGATTCTTCGGATCGAACGAATTCAACGTCGGACGATGAGATTATCCTTCCACCTCCCTACTCACCTGATGCATCACCGATTTTTGTCGATATCAAATCCCTTGATCAGGTACGCTACGTTTCAAGCAATCATGCATGTTCCATTTCATTGTTTGACATCTAACCCACGAATGCATTGCACTTTCATTCATAGTAATCATCATAATAATAGAGAGTCATTTCGGAAATGAGATTCATAAGTGAGGAATCAAGGGATGAGCTCATAGAAATGTTTCATTCTGTTATACAACCAAAATTCGCTCATTCAAATTCAGTCTTGAGTATTAAAGTGCAATGTTATTGAAGTGCAATGTTTTGTTTTTGTTGGTTTCCTTTTCATTGTGTAAAGTACTTCGATTCGATTTGCCAAGTGCATCCGAAAATCACATTTCTCAATCGTTTTCTTGTGAAATTCATCAGTTACGCATCAGCATCACTGTGTTCTAACGCCATAGCAATACATTCTATTAGATTCGAGCGATTCTTACAGTAGTTCGTCTCACATGCACCATTGTATTTATTTGCACACATTCTTACATTTGACTAAAATATCGTATGCTCAGATTGATTAACAATGTTTTGGTACTGTTACTATTCTTTCATTGCTTTTGTTTTCTCTACTATGATTATCATTGTTTTGATTATAACCACTTCTGATATAACTGTTTTATAGTACAAATATAATGTTTGTCAAACATCAAATTGTAAATTACATCCTTCTTCTTTATTTCAAAATCCATTTTTAAAACCACCACTCTTATAATTGGATATATCAAACAGCTGTTAGGTTTGCTCGACCAAATTCTTCGTATTCTAATATTTGTGGTTGCGTTCATCTGAAAAGTTTTCAAATGTGTACTCATTTCGAGTTGTTTTCGAAGTTTTTCACAAAATGAATTCAAGATGATTTACCAAACAATGACAGTTGATCAGTTCGAGTTTAGGCATTCCGTTCGAAATTGCATGCGATCGCGGTCTCGGTGGATGGCGGCCGTGCTGTGAAAGTCCCCATTGACGCTTTTTGTGCGACAATTATTTTGTTACAAGCGCGTTGTGGTTTTGTCGCTGGCCTTCTTATGGTTCATCAGAATGAACGGTACCGCTCTGTTGATTCATTACAATAACAAATTCAATGCGTGATTTTGTGTGGCAAGAGTGCAATCTGAAGCTGTGTTGCATTAAACTGTTCCGCAGTTCATTGAGAGTGAGCAGTTGTTTTTCGGTAATGCCTTTTCAAAAATTTGCGGTTCTGTGATTGTTCTTTGTGCTCTTAATCGATCAAATTGCTGAAATTGAATGAAACTGAGCTGGCAATTTTCAGACGGTTTAATGGCTGGCTGTATGCTCAGCCCTGTTTCGATGCGAAATTCTGATCGATCGCTCCACAGCCTTTTGGGATTCATTTGGATTATGCTCACAGTTTTCGTATATAGAAAGCTGAAAATTATTGTTTTTAAACGTAGTGATCATACACCAAAAAACTGTTACATACTAAAAGTTGTTAGTGTTGTGTAGAATAGAGAAGGTAAGCATGATAGCATAAATCACTCGTCGTGATGAATTGCGTTAGATCCGATTAAATCGCGCATTCTGAGAGAACATATCCAAAACATTCGTTGTATTCTCTAACCTACAGGTTTTATCTGTTTGCGTTACTGATCAAGGTTGTTATGATGACATCGATTCTGTGAGCCCAACAGCGTTAGACAAAAATCTGTCATAGATGTGTGTGTGTGTGTGTGGAAATAATTCATTTGTCATTTTATGTTATCACCTAATTCATCAATTATCACAGTAATAAATAATCGTAAATATTTCAAGAACGAAAGAAAGTGAGCGACAGGCGATTGCACCTCATTTGACTATGATCGGAACACTTCTGTCGATCGTCGTTAACGTCGAAGAGCAAAAACGTCTCGCGAGACAATCGCAAATATTCCTTACAATGGCACAAAACGTCTTCTCCAGTTTACGTATGTCTTTTGTGCAGTAGTCCGTACGTATCAATCATTTTTAATTCAGCATTTCTTTTTGCTTGTTGCATTATAAAACGATCAGGTGGACAAACACAAAGTCATACGGGGTGAGTATTTAAAAACAGTCGTAAAAATCAAAAGTATGCTGCATGATGAGCGTTTTGAAATGGTTCTATGCTTATCGATTGCATCACTATTATTATTGTTGTTGTTGTTTTGGATCCGAGATTTCAATTTCTATCTGTTCAACTGAGGATTAAATATTCAACTGTTTATTGCTCTGAACGTCGTCGTTCGCACAGTGAAGTGTTCTTAAGTCCGGCGGCTCTTCACTGCCATCTTACAGTAGAAAAGTATTTTGGTGAAGAATAGAGCAATATTCTCGAGAAATATTCTCTGAACAATATTTGAACTTATTCGTTCAGTGTCGCACATCTGCTGTCCATCGTTGGTTGTTTCCCGTGATGAATACTAAACAAATTGTGTTCATTAGGGTATCGCTTGAAAGTATCAATATTCATCAGTAAATCAGTAAAACTCAACTAGTTTTTCTACTTAAATAAGCCAACATTAACGTATATTCATTGTTGTTATCTAATTTGCTCAGAGGAGGTATTCATGGGCACAGATCGTTCACTTAACATGAACAGTTGTCTGTAAATGGCAATGAAATCATATGAATTAATATATTTGGTATCTAAATTCATGCGCTCAGATATCACTCCTGCGGGCCAAATAGTGGTGGAAGGCGATGTAATTGAAGAAGTGAAAGAATATACCTATTTGGGGCAACTGGTGAATATGGACCGAGATATGAAGCCCGAACTAGCTCAAAGAATACGATCCGGATGGAAGGCGTTCAACTCGATAAAGGATGTGCTAAAGGCCAAAATTGATGGATCTCTTCGTGCCCATCTGTATAACAGCACAGTCTTGCCCGCGATGCTCTATGCATGCGAAACGTGGGCAACGACAAAAACAGAAGAACAACGACTTATAATAACAGAGAGGGCAATGGAGAGATGTATGTTAGGAATATCGTTGCGTGAGCACATCCGATGCGAGGAGATACGCCGGAGAACTGGGATAAGCGACGTAATCACAGAGTACAGGAAACAGAAGCTACGATGGGCAGGCCACGTAGCTCGAATGAATGACAACAGGTGGACCCGAGCAATTCTAGAATGGTACCCCCGAGAACAAAAACGACCGCTCGGAAGACCTCCAAAAAGGTGGCGAGACGAGATCGACAAGGCGATTGGTAAGACCTGGCAAAGGAAAGCAAGGTCGAGGACTGATTGGAAACGCATTGTGGCCAGCAACGTCAACAACGTTCGATAGCCTGGCCGATTCCAGTATTCCAGTATATTTGGTATTGTGATCTTTAACGGTCGTATGAGTAGTTATGATCGCCTTTTATGGGATCATGCTAGAGTTCGAGTCCGTAAAGTTGCTGTTTGCTAGAGTTCTTCACACTTGAAACATTCCGTTTACGATCTCTTCTACTTAAAACAGGATTTGACGCAATCATTGTTGCGTTTTCATGCAGTTATTGTGGTTGCATGACAAGATTACCTCCGTTAGCATCCATTGAATTCCGTTCGTTGAATGTATTCAAACAATGCCACACGGAAGAAATGCTTGCAACAATTCATTTGATTCGGTGGAATACGTGGTGCCGTATTATTCACATTCATTTGTGTTCATTTATAAACGCGCATCGGGAAGTTAGAATGGGAATGGATTGTAATGTAAATGAGGGGTTCGCATTGAAGTTTTTGTTAGTGTTTTATGTTGTCCAAAAAATCAGTTCTGAATAAGTTCTGTGAAAACAAATACCATTCGATTGATAGTTCTCGAATGGGCGCTGTTGAGCGATGTTTTTATACAACGATATCGCATCATTAATCACGCCATTGCATTCCCATGTTCAAGGCTTTTTTTGTGTGCAATGTTCGTCGTTTATTCTCTTCGTATTTTTCGATAAACGAGGAAGTTTTTTTGACAAAAACCTTGTGATTCAGTGAAATGATATTTCATTTTTCATTCTCCTTCAAAGCCGGAAAAGATGCGACGACGCTTTTATTTCCCATTTTCATTCGATTGTCACAGTCTATTGCACATATGAACCAATACTTTTTCTTCGGATGTTTCGTCGTTTCACGAAGAGTGGGATTATTGATGATTCTCGAATTTCAGATGAACTCATTATATCTGTTTCCAGCTTGATATCAATTAGCAACTTGATATCGTCTCATAAGTTGCTAATTGCGCCAGGGAACACACCAAACGGTGGTCACAAGTTGTGGAACGTTCTTCAACGTATTTCACATTCATAAAACGATGAGATTGACTCGATCAGATTGTTGATTAATTCAGGTTTTTGTCGGAATGGTGAAATATGAGGAGTATTGTACTGATCCATTGGTGTGATGATTGTGTGGCTGCTCGTTTGAGAGAGAAAATTTTTTATGCATGCATTGTGCATTTTACGATAACGAACAGCAGCAGTAGTTTTCGATTACATCGTTTCATTTATAAAATATAATTCGAATCAGACGATTGAGTGGCGTAAAGAAATTATTCGAAAGAGAAAGTTGTCGGTCGTGTGTTCGTTAGCGTTGTTAATTGAGACGATAATTAGTTTCATTAGTTGATAATGTTATAGTTGTTATTGAAATGTATTACGTACATGATAAATAAGTCTATCTCCAAGCATGTGATCTTATTCACTATGTTCGAAAATGTTGTTTCTGTTCGAATAATATGAATGTGTTGTTCTCTCATGAAACTTTTGAGTGAATGGCATGTGATACATTATGACTGCTGTTTCGACTGGTTAATTAAGCTTAAGAGATGGTTGTGGTTGATTATTGTTTTGTGATATACTGACGACTGCTCTCGAGTATCCATTGAGAATATCACATAAGTTTTGAATGAATGGTCCAGAACAGAGTGGATACTATGGCCTATGTTTGCGCTGAATTGGAGATTGTATTCGCTTTCAATTTTTTTTCCTAGTGAGCCGAATGGGTATGTTACTACTAGGTGCAGCAGTTCGCACAAGACGTTGAGATAGAGGAATACTGTTCGAGTAGTCTTTTATCTTTGATCAGTTGTTCTTCGTTCACTCGTGAAATTTGCTTTGAGCTCTCGAATTTGAGCTCCATGATTCGGACGCTAAAATTAGCCTTGAAAGCAGTTTATCTTTTGTTTTGGCTATCAGCTGTTGTTTTCAATCACTTTCACGATTTCACGTATCTCTCATCTGTCAACATTTCAAGATTTCAACATCATCAACTTGATTTGATTACTTATCTTTCGTCTTTAGTGGTGATGAGAGAGAGAAAGCAACTGCTCAAAAATGCCTAGCGAATTGCTTGACTCAAGGGTCTGGCTCATTTGTTCGCTCTTCAATTGTTTATTTCATTTGGCCTGACCACCTTTCTCGACCAATTCTCTTCTTTCACGCAGGATTAACTAACTGAATTGATTAATAATGTCTTTCTAGAAGTAATCTTCCTAATGATCGTTCATATCATCGATTTAAAGTTTCGTCTTGATGCAATGAATATCACTTCCCTGATAGAGCGACTGCAGCCACTTTAAAAGTGTTAAATTCTCAAAATTTTGTTCAAGTTAACGCACAGATGAAAGTTTTTTTTGGCGACAATTGTTGATGAGCATCCGTGTGTTATTGTTGCTGATTAGTGGCTTATCCATGTGAATAATGCGATTATGCAGTTGATTCAATAGAATATTGTTTCAGTGATCATGTTTCAATAATATTTTTTGATTCGTTGCTACGACGAGAGTGAGATGAGAGTTGGAAGCACAGTTAGGTGTCACATGGAATAAGTTTTGATCAAATGATCACATCGAACGAAACGACAGCAAAACTGGGGAATAAGTTTTGATGTGTTGTTTGCGTTGCTCGTTCGTATGTTGTTGCGTCCATTTTCTTCCGTTTTTTATCTTGTGAAGGTAAAGAAAATTCATAAAACTTTCATTAGACTCACTGATGAGATAAGTGATTTTGTTAAAGAACTCTTTTGTTAAGGGTCTAACCAACCGTTATGAATTCACATTCAGCACTAAATTCCAGTTGATCCTTTCAGTTGACAACGCATTTCTCAATCTTGTCAAGAGAAAAAAAAGAAAAATTTGCTTGTTGTTGTATTTTATCTCTTTTTTTCAGTATCAACATAAGTAGGTATGTAAATAGGAGAGTACATATAAACTGAGTTATGAGAGTTGAAGTAAATCACGTTCAAGTGTTCATACTCGTACTCGATTTTTTCATCTCTTTTTTCGTTCATTCACTTTAAACTCAAATCCATCACTTGATTCGCCTTTCAACAGCAATGGTTGAGCGTCGTCCGTTATTTGATAGCCGGAAATGGCCTATTGAAAGGTTTGAAAAGCAATCAACTTTTTTCAAGAAGATTTTGTTTGCATGCTTCCGAAAGAAATTGGCTAAATCATCATAGCACCTAAAGTTGTCGCGTTATCGCATTGTGACTACATCTGCTCCGAATTGCATACGAGAACAATGCGCAGAGCAAGCTAGTCGGATAGCACTGTATTTATTCGTTTGAGTGGAATATTTTTTAGGTCATAGTGAAAACTTTAGTATTAGGTTACTAACAATATATTTATCGTTAGTTGAAATAATAGTAATAGCAACATTAATCACGGAATGATCAGCTGTTAAATGTTAATCGCCAGCGCGCACTTGCTTTTGGTTCTGGGCTGTTTTTTCTGTTCATCACTGTTGAATAACAAAATTTTTGGTGTGCGGAAAGTCGGGGTATTAAGCCGGGAAGCTGGAAAGATAAATGAAGTGAGATAGAGTTTAGGTCTTTTTTTACCTATGCGATACGGCTTCTTTCTGATTTGTAGCATTAGCTGAGTGCTGTTGATAAGTACTTTCTGGAATTTATCCGTTCAGATGATTCAGCTTCAGACAAGAAACGCTGTCGTGATGAGGAGAAGAGGTACTCATCAATGAGGTTCT